CACCCCCCTCTCCCATGTGACATCACAATGCACCAGCCATATGATCTGCCATATGAACTAACGCCAGTGCTACACATTAAAAAGCCTGCAGGGACAGGCTATAGACACCGGAACCACTTCATTAAGATGCAGATTAGTGTCACAAATAATATACTAGATTGCCTACTTACAAGCAGATGAGGATGGTGATGGGCTCTGGCTGTAGTTTGGCTCCACTGGTCTGGTGTAGAACAGGATCACTGGAGGCTGTTTGTAACTGTGGTCACAAAATTCAATGCTTTGGGAGAACGGGAAGCAGCTCCATTTTTTGGGGCCCCTTACACAGCTCAAGGTCTGGGCCCCAGGGCCTGACTGTGAGTATGCCCATAAAGCCCACCCATAAGTCCACCTTTATGTTCCACCTATGAGTTAGCTCACAGGGAGTGGAGTATGTAGGGGATGTGTTATGTGTTAAAGTAGAGGATCTAATGTGTGTGCTTATAAAATGTAGTGTATAGGGATACCAGTTTGTGTAGGTGATGCAGTATGTTTATGTGTAGTGGAAGCAGTGTGTGTTTGTGTATAAGGGATGTATTGTGTGTTTCTGGTTGTGTGTAAGGGATGCATTGTGTGAATCTGTGTTTGTATGCATAAGGGATGCAAGGTGTGTGTCTGTAAGAGGTGCATTGAGTGTGTGTAAGAGATGCATTGTGTTTCTGTGTGTATGTAAGAGAAGCAGTGTGTGTTTGCATGTGTGTATAAGGGATGCATTGTGTGTTTCTGTGTATGTGTGCAAAGGATGCATTGTCTTTGTGTGTAAGGGTTGCATTGTGTGTGTGTGTGTGTGTGTGTAATGGATGCATTGTGTGTTTCTCTGTGTGTAAAGGAAGCATGCTGTGTTTCTGTGTGTGTAGGGATGCATTGTGAGTGTGTGTGTGTGTGTGCGTAGTGTGAAAGAGCTCCCTGTCCTGCCCCCTGTCCTATAGATCTCTCCCCTGCCCCTTAGTGGTCTCGCCTCTCCCCCCACCCTCCCCTAGCGGTCTCTTCTCACGCCCACCCTCCCCCCTGTGTTCTCCTCACCTCCCCTACTCCTCACCCCCTCTCCCGTGTTCTTCTCACCCCACACCCTCCCTGTGTTCTTCTCACTCCCCCCGTGTTCTCCTCACCTCCCCTCTCTCTCACCCTCTCCCTGTGTTCTTTCTCTCACTCCCCTGTGTTCTTCCTCTACCCTCCCTCTGTGTTCTTCTCTACCTCCCTCCCAGTTTTTCCTCTCTATCTCCTTCTCCCCACCCTCCCTGTGTTCTTCTTACTTCCCATCCCCTTTGTTTCTTTCTTTTTAATTTCCTCCCATCTTCTTTCTCACTCCCTCTCCCTCTTTCTTCTACTCCTCCCTCTTCTCACTTCCCTCCTCTCTCTTTCTACTTCCCTCTCCTCTTCTTTCTTACTTCTCTTTCTCTCTCATTCCCTCCCTCTTTCTTTTCTCACCTCTTCTTTCTCACCTCTTCTCACTCCTCTGCTCCCCTTCTCTTTCTTTTCTACTTCCCTCCCTCTCTCTCTTCTTTCTACTCCTCTCCCTCTCTACTTATTCCCTTCTCTTACCCCATCCTCTTTGTTTTCTTTTCTTACCCTCCTCTTATTCTCACTCCCCTCCCTCTCTTCTTCTCTCACTGCCTCACCCTCTTTCTTCTCACTCCCTCCCTCCCTCTTCTTCTTCTACTCCTCCCTCCTCTTCTTTCCTACTCCTCTCTTACTCCCTTTCTTCTTACTCCTCTCCCCACTTCTTCTTACTCCCTTCTTCTTCACTGCCCCCACCCTCTCTTTCTTTCCTCACTCCCTCCCTCTTCTTCTTCTCACTTTGCTATAATTCCTCCTCCCTCCTCCTCTTTTTCTTCTCTTACTCCCTCTTCTTACTCCTCTCCCCTCTTTTCTTACTCCCTTCCCTCTTTCTTCTCACTCTTCCCCTTTCTCTTCTTACCTCCCCAGTTCTTCTTTACTCTCTTCCCCTAGCGCTCTCTCCCCTTACCTCCCTTCCCTGTAGCGCGGGCCGAAGCCTCCTCCGGTCCACGGTACAGGAGCTTTTGTTTCCTGTGCTCGGCCGGACTGACAGGAAGTGCATACTGGGTGTGCACGTCCTATCAGTCCGGCTGGGTCGCGGACCGGAGAAGAGCTCGGCCACGCTACAGGGAAAGGGAGGTGAGAGGCAGTGCTGCAGCCGCCTGAGGTTCTCTATAGAATTGTGGATTTGTTCCTGTCAAAATATAATACAGAGAGTAATATAACCAATTGTATGTCTATGTATATTGTATACCAATATGTAACAGGCCATGTGGAATTGTCTACAGGAGAAACTCTCTACTTATATCATTTTCCCAAACGTCCCAATAAAACTGCAGATTGACCTTTTTTACGGTGAGTGTTGCTGCAACGGGAGTTCATACCTTTCATTATCAAGCACTAAAATCAGTGCTTCCTTAACTGATGGTAAAGTAGTCGACTTCCAATAACAAGGTATGATCGACGTGGCCGCAATAAGAATATGGCCTACCATGATTCTATCCAATTTACTGAAAGTCTAGGGAGATTTTTGAATAAATCCATCTCTGTTACAATTGACGGATCTATCTTTTTAATCAGTGAATGTATTCCCTGCCAGAACGGTTGCAAATTTGCATAGTGCCACCAAATATGCAAAAGAGTACCAAGGCCTCCACAACTCCTCCAACACCTATCTGAAAATTTTGTGTTCATTTTATAAAGTCTTGAAGGTGCCAGGTGCCAACGGTATATAATTTTGTAGTGATTTTCTATATGATTGAACTATGTGTGATCCCTTTGAGAGAAAATGTGAATGCAAGCCATTCCTCCAGGTTCCACTGCAGACCAAAATATTTTTCCTGTGCTTGAATACAGTGTGGTTTTGTATTTTGAACTGAAAATAAGAATAACATAAGGAAATTGTATATTTTTGATTTGGGTGGAATAAATAAAAATTTTCATGGTTTAAATTTTGTAATTGTTCTAATTTGTAGTCTGGATTGGGGATGTCAAATTACTCTTGTAGGATCACCGTGATTGCGAAATACCGGGGCCCCAACTATCAGCCAAATCATACTTGATTTTATAATTTTCAAACAACATTACAACACAAAAATATTACATTACAAAAAAAAAAAAACATGCTGCATCCTTGCAAACACTGACATATCGTCAGGAATAATAGGGTTCATACACGTAGTGTGTAACAGAATAGTAACGTGTAACGAACCTTAGAATGGCTCAGCTAACGTCACAAGGACAGAGAGTAATTACAGAGTGGGTACAGAAGGTAGAGTAGTCAATCAGGCCAAAGTAAGAACCAAGAGAATAATACAAATATATAACGTGCTATTGAGACTGTAAGAACCACAACAGGGCAATGAGACATGTCCTAAACTCCCTTTATGTTCCTTTAATTTGTAGCCACATCCCCAAAACAGTAAAATTAGACAATAGCAGAACCTTTCAGTGATGTCATTAGCGTCATGACGTCAGCGCACATGCACCGTGTCATAAAAAGGGCAGGGCTATTGCGTCCGGCGCAAGAACTGCTGGAAAGAAGAACAGGACTTATATATGGTACCCTTCCACCTGCATGATGTCTCCACAATGTGGCACAGCCTGTGCCAACACATGAGGTACCATGACACAAATATATTATTACACTTGTACGCAGGGAAGTATTAGCCATGAGGCAAACAAGGCATTTGCCTTGGGCAGCATTTTCCAGGGGGCGGCAAAAAACACCGCCCCCAAATGCCCAGGGCAAATGTCTTGTTAGCCTTGCGGCTAACTGACATGCTGGGCTGGTGGGCGGCCCTTGGGGGGCGGCTGGCGAGGGAGCTCTTCCTCTGAGCGGTCTGCTCAGCTCCCTCGCGCGCCGCAGAGTGAGGCTGGGAGCCAGAATATGACGTCCCAGCCTCACTCTGCGGCGTGCGAGGGAGCTGAGCGGAGAGCTCAGGGGAAGTGCTCCATAGAAACATAGAATGTGATGGCAGATAAGAACCATTCGGCCCATCTAGTCTGCCCAATTTTCTAAATACTTTCATTAGTCCCTAGCTTTATCTTATAGTTAGGATAGCCTTATGCCTATCCCACGCATGCTTAAAGGACCACTATAGTGCCAGGAAAACATACTCGTTTTCCCGGCACTATAGTGCCCTGAGGGTACCCCTCCCGCCCGGCTCTGGAAAGGGGAAAGGGGTTAAAACTTACCTTTTTCCAGCGCTGGGCGGGGAGGTCTCTGCCTCCTCTCCTCCTCCGTTCCTCCTCCTGGGCTGAAGAGCTGCGTGCGCATTCAGCCCGTCGCATAGGAAAGCATTTACAATGCTTTCCTATGGACGCTTGCGTGCTCTCACTGTGAAAATCAATGAGAAAGCCACTAGAGGATTAGGGGAAAGGCTTAACCCATTCATAAACATAGCAGTTTCTCTGAAACTGCTATGTTTATAAAAAAATGGGTTAACCCTAGAAGGACCTGGCACCCAGACCACTTCATTAAGCTGAAGTGGTCTGGGTGCCTAGAGTGGTCCTTTAAACTCCTTTACTGTGTTAACCTCTCACTCACTTCAGCTGGAAGGCTAGTTCCATGCATCCACTACCCTCTCAGTAAAGTGTAATACTTCAGATATTATTTTTAAACCTTGTCCCTCTAATTTAAGACTATGTCCTCTTGTTGTGGTAGCTTTCTTCTTTTAAATATAGTCTCCTCCTTTACTGTGTTGATTCCCTTTATATATTTAAATGTTTCTATCATATCCCTCCCTGTCTCTGTCTTTCCTCCAAGCTATAATGCAGCTAAGATCCTTTAACCTTTCCTGGTAAGTTTTATCCCCAAATCCATGAACCAGTTTTAGTAGCCCCCTTCTCTGAACTCCTCTCTCTAAGGTATCAATATTCCTCTGAAGATACGGTCTCCAGTACTGTGTAGCTCCATATAAATCCTCACCATACAGCCTCTATATTACCTCCATATACACCTTGCATATACACCTTCCATATAACCTCCATACAGCTCACATATAGTTAGTTAGAAAACTGACCTTTTACTCTTCTTGTGAGATAACAAGTACAGTGACAGCTCCAGTCATTCAGTGTGAGTGCACACCCAGCACACAGGTCACTGATCCCCTATATCGATCTCTCTCTCCATTATTGATCTCCTGGCCAGGTATTGCTACCCAGATAGAGTACTGGTCCCCGGGCAGGTTATTGATCTCCCCTGAAAGATGATTGCTCTTTTGGCAGGGTATTGATCGTCTAATAGGTTATGGATCTCCTGCTGGGTATCGATCTACTGATAGATTACTGATCTACTGACTGGGTATTGATCTCCTGATAGATTATTGATTTCCTGTCAGGATGCTGATCTCCTGATAGACCATTAATCTCCTGGCTGGGTATTGATCACCTGATAGATGATTGATCTCCTGGTGGCAGGGTATTGATCTCCTGGTTGGTAATGGATCTCCTGATAGATTATTGATCTCCTGCTGGAAGGGTATTGATCTCCTGATAGATTATTGATTTCCTGTCAGGGTGCTGATCTCCTGATAGACTATTAATCTCCTGGTGGCAGGGTATTGATCTCCTGATAGATTATTGATCTCCTGCTGGAAGGGTATTGATCTCCTGATAGATTATTGATCTCTTGGTGGCTGGGTATTGATCTCCTGATAGATTATTAATCTCCTGGTGGCAGGGTATTGATCTCCTGATAGATTATTGATCTCTTGGTGGCTGGGCATTGATCTCCTGATAGATTATTGATCTCCTGGTGGCTGGGTATTGATCTCCTGATAGATTATTGATCTCTTGGTGGCTGGGTATTGATCTCCTGATAGATTATTGATCTCTTGGTGGCTGGGTATTGATCTCCTGATAGATTATTGATCTCTTGGTGGCTGGGTATTGATCTCTCCTGTCAGCCCCTGTCAGGATGATGGGAGGAAGGTGGGCCGGGGCTCTGCTCCCCCTGTGACCCGGACCTGGGACCTTTCAGCAGCAAACACTTGTTGCTCCGTCTCGGCATTTTTATTTCCTACTCCTGAAGGTCGTCAGGACCGCGGAACTGTCCACTGGGCTCTGATTGGCCCGCTGCCGGCGACCCGGGCTCTGATTGGCCAGGAGTGAAGACGAGCACAGCGTCACCCCAGGGCAACGTTCCAAGGACTTGTCTAGTGTTCTGACAGATAGAGGATCAGGTTTGGTAGGCTGGTCTCCATGGTGACGTGGGGGGAAGGGGGGGGGGGGAGCGTGTCAATGGACTGATAGCTCAATATATTAATAATGGATAATAAGTATGGACTGCACTCCCAAAGACCCTGATCCAGGCTGGCTGAGAGTGATTAGAAATGCAGTGCTCAGCAGCTGCAGTACCAAACCTCAGCCATCACTGATCTACAGGCAGACTGCACTTTGTTTTTGTCTGAGCATCCACAATCCTAAATATAATGTCACAAAACCCCAGCTAGAACTATCTCCTGTGTGATGGGCATTGTATTCACTGCAAGGTCCACAAAAGCAGGATTGAAAACCAAACACTGGCTACTGGCTCCTCACACTGACAATCAGAAATAAATAGCATTTAAAGCATTTACCGGTATGTTAAATTGTATTTGTTTTAAGTTTGAAACATGCACATTTATTATAATAAAGAAAACAAAAATAAATTCTACATTAGTGTCAGCAGAAATTAAAATGTAAATAGTCAATAAAGATACTAACTAACTTGATCAGTATGTATATATATTAGAAAATACATAATGACACTGCAGGGTGTTGTCTGCAGACTGCTCTCACAGTTACTGATCAGTTAAATTGTAGGTCTGGGGCTTATTCGCTAAACAGTGAGTTATGTTGAAAGATCAACTTGACAGATATAACTCATCATAAGTAACTGTGTGTGTAGTAAACAACATCCCTGTGTGCATATTATTTTATGTATGATAATGTTATGCTAATGAAAGTCTTGGAAGTAGATTGTTACAGAAAATTGATTTACAACTACAATTAATCTTGATATTAAATATTTAGAATTTCTGTGATTTTTACTTGGTCGAACTGAACATCAGAGATCACATGCAACAAGGCACAAAGACCAAAAAATACAAGAAAAGTATTCCTTCTAATTGCTTTGCCTTAAGCTAGAAGGAGACATTTGTCTAATGAGTCTACAAGCTGTTGGACATCTCTCCAAATAGTGGCCCTCCATTATCCAGCCCCTGCTCTGTGTCACCACTGCAGTATTTATCATTCTCCTGTATCACAGCCAGTGCCATATCACTCAATACATGTCTCCTGTTTATTTTCATTAATGGTATCAGATATGACACAATAGATTGGCCCCAGTTATAATAAACTAAGTTAAACCTTTGCTTTCTGCTTTTTATTTTCTGAATATCTCTCTATTTGTGGCGTTACTGCCACAGTAATTCGCTAATGTGTAGATTGTCAGGAATTCAAATTAAGTTTAATTATTAGGCCAAAATAGTCAAATTGAACATACAACGGACTTGGAGAAATGTTCTAATTTGACTACTGTGGCCTATATTTTGAAATTCCCTGTAAATTCCCCAAAATGTACCTTTCAGAGAATAACCCTAACACAGAAGATCATTCGAGTATTGAAGATTTACAGGTATGTAGACTACCAATCGTGGATTTATAATACATATCAATTCAGATATATATCAGCCAGTTTTTTTGCGGGTGTAAAATATAAAATAAAGTTAAACTTATGTGCCAAGAGTCTTCCCTTACAAGGTAAAATATCCCCTAGCAGCCCGAATACATAGGGATTATAAGAATATCAGAGAGCATGTTTTTTATTAATGTTTTTTTATTAAGTCCGTCAGTAGAATTTTATGAATGTACGACATAGATCAGTCCAGGAGGTGTATTTATAGACGTTCTCTGCAGATTGGGTTGGGGAAAATTTTAATTGATGCACATTAAAATAAATGTAGTGGTATAGTTCATACAGGAAAAATAGTCTTCACAGAGCCAGCAGGAAGTGATTAACCCCTTCAGGACACATGACGGAAAATATTCCGTCATGATTCCCTTTTATTCCAGAAGTTGTGTCCTTAAATACAAATAAAATAAAAACAGACAAAATAAAAGTCAATAGGTAGTCTAAATATATAGTCCAACGCGTTTCGTCCAATGTAGGGACTTCCTTGTAGGGATAGTCCAGATCCCTGAGGAAGTCCCTACATTGGATGAAACGCGTTGGACTATATATTTAGACTACCTATTGGCTTTTATTTTGTCTGTTTTTATTTTATTTTATTTGTTTTTAATCCCTTCCTGCCGGCTCTGTGAAGACTACTTTGCTGCATTTGGTTCCACATTGTGTGGATACATGCCCAGATTGTCTGCCTGCTTGTAAGTGCAATCTTAATACATTTTCCTGTGATTTTATATACTTCACCATGTATGGCTCTCTTTCCTTCATTCATTCAAGGAGTTCCCTATCGTTGTAACCCCTGAAGGGGTGAGAAGCCTTTTTACACCTGCGTTTGTGAGTGCAATTCCTATAGAGCACATTATTTATTTTATTTTTACTGCATTACACTATGTAGTGTTTGTTATCATTGCAGATTTACACTAATAATTATAATTACCCTGGTTCATCCTCCCAGGTTGTATTCAATTTATTGTATATTCTGGGTGTTTTCCTACTTTTTTTCTTGTTAAAGTTTATTATTTGAATGACATGAATTTTACATTTTAGACATTTTAGTTTTAGACTAAAATAGCCAAACTGAGAACACTGTTGATTAAGATAATTTTTCAGGTGCAACTCATTTGCAAAGTAACACCAAATATGACCAGGTACACTCAGGTGTGTTTCAGTAGGAGACCCATTGGCAAAATAAATGAACCTGCTTTTTGCAGGTGATGGTAAAGACTTTAGTAAAGGGCCCTGTGTGTCTTTGTTTGGTTACACGTTTACGGTAGATGGCCTAGTCTTGTTTGTTGCAGTAAATTGACACAGGTTTGAGCCATATCCTACAATAACAGCATGTACTGAAGACTGATAAGCACTTCTTTCTTAACCCACATCTTAGAGCGACCAGATTTCCAAGTCCCCCAGCTCTGCGTAGTGTTTGTGTGGCTGTCAGCACGTGCTGCCTTTATCTAAGCCAACAGATACACACACATGCAGTTCTTCCATTGAAACACATCCAGAAAAACAATGATCTGCCCTAGATTGTAAACTTGTTTTGGCAGAGCTATCTTCACTTACTGTTCCTGTATGTCGAACGTCCTTTGTCTGACTTGTTTGTCTCGGTTATTCTATCGTACAGCGCTGTGGAATATGTTGGCGTTGTATAAATAATTATAATTGCTACATTTACCATGCATATAGAGATGCATGGGGGTTTATTCAATAAATACTGAATTGCAAAATTAAGGTATAAAAGAGTTGATCTGGTAGGAATTCTCCAAACTAGCTAAAGTCACAGGTTGGCTATTTTAGAGTGAATTTTCACAGATTTGGAAAAAATATGTAAGAAAACAACCATCCCAACAAACAATATAAAGCATTGTACACATTGCAAATATTTTTTTTTTTATATATATATATATGGGCTTTGAAATTCTGCTTCCTTCCAGGTATTGCAGAGGTCTGAGGATCCTCACTAATATTCGAATTAATGTTCCCAAATCCACCGTATTTTCTTCTACGTATATATCACTAATACATGCTGCTGATGGGCATCACATGAAAAGTATTGCCCTGCGGTATGTAGAACTGAAATGCTGTAGGAGGTACTCCTCCAGGTAACTTGCTATACATGTATCTTACAAACTGCAGCGTCAACGGCTCATCAACTTGAAGAAATGATAGCGTGCCCTGGAAAACACATAATGGATGTGTCCACCCGAACTATAATACGTTCTTTTAAGTTTTTATTTTACAGGGTTATTCACAGAAGTGAGAATGATTGAGAATTCTAAGTGAATTTCAGATTTATAGGGACACTATAGGCCAGGGGTGCCCAAAAGGTAGATCCCTAAAAGTCTTAAAACTACAGCTTCCATGATGCTTTGTCAATTCTCAACATCTGGGGATCTACCTTTTGGGCACCCATGCTATAGGCACTCGGATCACTTAAAGGACCACTATAGTGACAGGAAAACATACTCGTTTTCCTGGCACTATAGTGCCCTGAGGGTGTCCCCACCCTCAGGGCCCCCCTCCCGCCGGGCTCTGGGGGGAGGAAGGGGTTAAACTTACCTCTTTCTCCAGCGCCGGGCGTGGAACTCTCCTCCTCTTCGGCTGAATGCGCATGCGCATTCAGCCAGTCTCATAGGAAAGCATTCACAATGCTTTCTTATGGACGCTGGCGTCTTCTCATTGTGAAAATCAAAGTGAGAAACGCGGAAGTGCCTCTAGCGGCTGTCAATGAGACAGCCACTAGAGGCTGGATTAACCCATTTATAAACACGTGTGCCTGCCCTCCAATGTAATTATTGATCCAATGCACTCTTATCGGGAAGGACTAATGCATGCATGGTGGTCACCGTGCATGCACATTAGGTCCCCATCAGCTGACCTCGGATAAGAAGGAGGAGCCTCGGCGCTAACATCAGGTAAGTGACAGAATTTTTCTTTAACCTTTTCATGGATCTGAGGGGGGCGGGGGGGCAGGCATCGGAGCAGGGAGCAGAGATACACTATAGTGTTAGGAATACAATTGTGTATTCCTTTAAGACCAAGTCCGACATGTTCAGTGAATAACTCTGCTACTGTACAAGTGCGGAGGAGGATCACAGGGGGTTTTAGAAATAGCACTATTAGAATATAACCCGCTGGGTGGCATCTTGTTACAGAATGCTCTGTTCCCCATCTAAAGCTCTCATGGATGTGCTGCTGATATCTGAAGCTAATAATAAAACCAAATCCGCCTGTTGGATTAATCTGCTCATTTTACTGCACGGATCATTTTTAATGTGTTTATTGTCCGTGTGGTGGTAATACACACATAGCAGACACTGACACAGACAGGGATGTTAGCCAAACTCGGAATCAACTAATTCAATCA